GGGAAGTTATTTTCTGGGACTGGTGGTAATCATTACATTTCAAAATGTGGAAGAGGAAAGAAGATGAGATTATTCTTTTTGGATTTGATCTATTTACGCAATGTGTATATATGCTCTATTTATGCAGTGAAGCAATAAAAAGAAAAAAACAGTTCCAGAAGAAGCTTAGTGTAAGCAACTATCAGGTCTTAAGGAAATACTCATTTTCTAGCTCACTGTAACCAGTCTTTCCTATGTACAGAGATGATGCTACAATGGAAGATCAGGATTGTGAGAAATGGCCCAAAAATGTGCAATTAGTTGTCAGAAAGAAGATCAGGTGAAGCACTGTTACAGGGTTCCATTGTAGGTCTGTGTTGTTTCCCTAACTCCGTTCAGCACACAGACATTTTCTGTATCTCCTGTGCTTACTGGAAATTCGGAGCTGGTTTTGGAGCAGCATTCTATTACACATGTTCAGTGTCACCTCTTCTCTTTCATTCTTCACTGATCTGTCATATTTCAGAGTTTTGTACAGTTAAAAGCACACTTCTGTGGAGTTTTACATACCCTGTCGTTAACGCAGTCAAACTTGCAATCAAGCGCAAAAGCAGGGAAAGAAGAAATAGTTCTTCTACATCCACAATTATTTTGTAATATTACTGCATACAGGTATTTTAAGGGCATGTCATTGTCAGTGCTTTCTAACTATAAGGAAAAATAGATTTGTCAAGGTTATTAAATATTTTCACAGCAGTTGATGAACACTTCCTTGGCAGGTTTTATCTATTCTTATTTTTTTCAAATAGAGAGGTAGCAAAGTCACGGTTTAAAAATTGAGTAGGGCAGTACTGTTTACCTCAGAGAGGTGATATATGCTCATATGGTAATTACTTCAGTAGCAAATTCTGTGATAAATGGCAGTTTCAGATCATCAGGAAATCTTCAAAGAAATACACTGTCCCCTTTGCACATTCTCTTTTGATTCCAGTTGCATACTGTCAAAATCACTTCACATAGTTTCATCTAAAAGACACCAGCACCTTATCCCATGTCTCCTCTTTGTTTGGCCAAAATCTTGTACTGAAGAGCTAATAAAGATTGGCACCGTCTTCGGACTTGCAAATGCATTATCATTCTAGAAGCTAATCTGCTTTTTCACTTATTTAAATATGCTAATTCTATGGAAACAATACTTGGTGGTGTGGTAACTGTAGCCAGCGCATACATGAACATGTAGAAGTGTATGAGAGAAAACAACTTTGAATCTGTTTCTGGCCTCATCTGCGACTTATGTTAGAGGCACTGTACTTTGTGTTGCTTACGTCTTATAAGTAGGAGTAAAAGCTGCTTTTTAAAATTTTTTACAGTTTAATTTGGATTCCTAAATGCAAACATACAGGTCATACTTACTTCATTTATTTAACACAGTCCGCCATTCCAGCTTTAAATTCTAACTATATCTTATGTAAACAAAGATTATAGGTCTTTTTCCCATAAGAGTTGCCAGGAGTATGGTTCAGTTGTAGGTTTAGATTTTCAGCTTTCCCACAAGAGAAAAATACTAAGTATTCCCCAAAATCATTTGTAATGATTTTGCTTTTTAATGCAGAAGTTAAATTCCTGGTCCAGGCATTAGACAAACTAGCCAGAGAAGAAGCATTACTGGACCTGGTGCTCACCAGCCTTCATTAAAGAGGTTAAGATTGGAGGCATTCTGGGCTGCGGTGATCATGCCCTGGTACAGTTTGTGATCTTGAGGAAGATGGACCTGGCAAAATGCAAAGTCAGGACCCTGAATTTCAGGACAGTGAACTTCAGGCTTTGAAGGAATTGCTGGATGAAGTCCCCTGGGAAGTTGTCTTCAGAGGTAAAGGAGCAGAGCTGGCAGCTAATTAAGGATACCTTTCTGAGAACATAAGAGCTCTGACCGTCTGTATAGGAAAAAAAGCAGAGGAGGCAGGAAACTGGCATGGCTGAGGTGATTGAACTGGGAGTTAAGGACACACACAGACAGTGGAAGCAGGGACATGTGGCCTGGGAAGAATACAGGAATGCCCTCCAGATGTGCAGAGACAGGATTGTGAAAGCCAAGGCACAGATAGAACTGCACTTGATGGGGGATGTAAAAATTAACAGGGGATTCTACATGTACATTGTTCAGAAGAGACAATCCAAATAGAGTGTACCCCCTCTGATAAGTAAGAAGGGAAAACTGGCTACAACAGACATGGAAAAGGGTGTGGTACTCAGTGAGTTCTTTGCTTCAGTCTTCACTGTCAGCCAAGCTTCTCATGTCTCTCGTGTCTCTGAACCTCTATGTGGGGCCTGAGGGGGCAAAATCCCTCCCACTGTAAGAGAAGAGTAAGTCTGAGACTGATTTGTAAGACTGGGTGTTTATAAATCTATGGGGCCTGATGATGTGCATGCCAGGGTCTTGAAGGAGCTGGCTGATGTGTTTGCCAAGCTGCTATCCATTATATTTGAAAAGTCCTGGCTATCAGCATAGTCCCTGGTGACTGGAAAAAAGGGAAACTTTGCTCCGATTTTTAAGAAAGGGAGAAAGACATGAAGAACTACAGACCAGAGAGCCTGGGAAGGTCATGGAACAGATCCTCCTGGAAGGCATGTTAAGGTACATGGGAGACAAGGAGGTGATCCAAGACAAGCAGCATAGCTTCACCAAGGACGGATTGTGCCTGACCAATCTGATGGCCTTCTACAATGAGTGACAGCATAGGTGAACAAAGGAAGGGCAACTGGTGTCATCTACATGAACTTCTGCAAGGCCTTTGACATGATTCTACACTACATCCTTATCTGTAAATTGGAGAGAGATGGCTTGGAAGGTCAGGTGAGCAATTAGTTGGAAGGTTACAGCCAGAGGGTTGTGATCAGTACATAAAGGAAGCTTATAAAAAGTAGGGAAATCAACTCTTCACATGGAAAGATAGTGATAGGACAAGGGCAATGATTTTGAACTAAAAGAATGGAATTTCAGATTAGATGTTGGGTAGATTTTTCACTGAGATGATAGTGAGATGCTGGTGAGGCTGCCCAGGGAAGTTGTGGGTGCCCCATCCCTGGAGGTGTTCAAGGCCAGGTTGGATGGGGCTGTGGGCAACCTGGTTTAGTGACTGATTCAGTGGTTGGCAACCCTGCCCACAGCAGGAGGGTTGGAACTTGATTTTCGACATCCCTTGCAACCCAAGTCATTCTGTGATAGTTCTATGATGAGTAGCTGCAGATATCAGCTGGAGCATGCATTGTATCCGTTTTTATTAGATAGTAATTTGCTCATAGCTTATTAACTTAAAAGCTGCGTCGCCTTCACATAGTAGCATATGTGCCTGTTATTGTATATCTGGCAGCCTCCGGCATAAAGAGACGAAGGATAATAATAGATTTTGTTCTGGCAAAAGGATAAACTGCTTGTAAACTAGTAACAGTCTGCAGAGTAGCTTTATTTTAAAACATATTTATGCATATAAATAGAAAGTACAATCTAGATGCATATCAAAGCTTTTGAGGAAGCATCTACAACTGTAGAGTGATGAAATTGAAAAAGGATTTGTAGTGGTCTGTGGTACTGAATGTTTGGATACTGAACCAGAATTAATGAGATCTAAGTTCACTTGTCTGTTTTACCACAGATCTTGTGTGTGCTCTTGGAGGTAACTTCCTTTTTTGACTTATTTTTTAACTGTAATGCACAAGAATATTACCCACCATCACCTTGGTGATCTGAAGCTCTGTGAGGATGGCATGTATCCATTTTCAGAGTGATGCAATGATAATTACAACTAAGCCTTTGTTTTGACTGTTTCTCTAAAGAAAAGAAATCCTAGTGTGTACTGTTCCCATGCTATAACCCACAAGCTGTGAGTAACACATAATACTAAATGGCAAATGTGCACATAAATCCATAAACCTATCTATTTCAGTGCTCTGAAGCAGTCAACTAATTCTGAAACCAGTGATGTTTGTGGTGTATTTCAACGTAAAGGGTGAAAATACAGATAGCGATGGATATTAGATGTAGGGCAGATCAGTGCAAACCTGAACCTGTGGTCAGCTGTGTGGAACTGCTAAAGCAAACAGTGTGTCTTCTGAGAAGGAGCTAGAGTTATCCTTTTGCAGTACAAATGCACATGATTTAAGATTTGAGTCTATGGTAACTGTATTGTTCCATTTGCATGAAAAGGAAACTTAATTTACTTGTTGGTCCTGTTGAAATTTAGCTCTATTATTCTTAGCTGTGTGAATGGCCTGTTTGTTGTGCAGAGTTGTTGAGTGCAGAAAGTGGCTTTTGTTGTGGTATCAAAACTGAGGAACAGTGGTGTACAGTTAGATCTGAAGTCTTCCTTGTACATACTGGAAGAGAAGAAAGGTTCTTCATGGCAGCTAGAAGGAAATCCCAGCTTTCTAATCTTGTTATGTTGATAGTGGAACTGAATATTTTCTTGGGAGACACATCAGTAATAGGAAATTCTGGATGAGAGGCACTTTGTTTTTTTCTTTAGCATTTTTTGAAATGCCATACTACTGTGGCAATAAGTTCATTAAATCATGACATTAGTATAGTTTCTCAATTTTCATGTACTTGTGCCAAAGAGTGTAGAACTGTATAGAACACACAGTATAAAACATGTCCACTTTCTGTAATGGAATGGTTCTAAAATGTGCCAATAGTGCATGTTTATATGTGTCTTTCTACGGCTGAATCTGTTATTGCTACCTAAAGTACTTCTTTTTGGGGTGTGTTTCTTTCTGTTTGATGATTACAAAGTGGCTCCATAAGTTTTGTGCACTTAAATTTTAGCACTAAGAAAGAGCAAGTGTATGTGTGGCTGCGTCATGTGTACTGAAATCAATTATAGGGTTACCAAATAATATGTTGAAAACTTGGCATTAATGGCAATTAAAAAGACTTAATCACCTACAGAGAAGGTGAAAAGACTCTCTAAAGGCAGTTTTTCTTGTTGGTCTTTTTAAATATATTTTTTTCTTTTTGTTTCCAGGTTTTCTCAAATAACGATGAAGCCCTTATTAACAAAAAATTGCCCAAAGAACTTCTGTTAAGGTAATTCAAGATAACATTTTACGAAGTAAAAATGTGAGGATAATTTACTGCTTATGTGGCTTACAAACCACAAAATGCTATTCATTCTTGAAATAAATGGCAGCATGTCTTTTAGATTTTGGAATTCTTGAACCTGTTTTCTTTTGGTTGCTCTCGAGTTGTTTTAATCTGTTCAAATTGCATTATACTATGGATGATGTAATTTAATAGTGATGTTTTTGTTGCGTATTAGAAATAGTGAAATAAAATGTCCACATCTTTAGTATATATCGCCAACTCTTTTCCACATTGCATGATGTTTGTCCGTCTGGAGAGCGTATGATCCCTTCTCTAATGTAATTCCCTACAATGGTTGCTCACTCTTCTTGTTATAAACTTTGTTATAACAAATATAAATATGACTTTAAAGCTTTCAGAAATTCACTGCAGTGAAAAACACTGCCAGTCACCCTTATTGTCAGTCTGTGTTATACGTAACAGAACCAAAAAGAGGATTTTACTTGCTGTAATCATTTGGCCAGCCATTCCTTTGCTACTGTGTGAGTAGATCATGTTAGCTACAACATCAAGACAAGTAAGTTTAGCCCACGGTTGAGGTACAGATGGATGTCTTCACATGAAAGCAGCCTTGAACAAATTGAGCAAGTGCAAACTGCAAAAATATGGAGGTACTACTTAACTGAATGTGACTACGTGAGAGGTAAAACTGAACTGAGTGTCTTCTCTACCTGTCTGTAGTTTTCATTACAGTCCACTCTTTGTGCAGAAAGAAATGTTTGCATGTAATGGTGCAATTACAATTTTTAGTGATGTTGTAATTAAAATTGAGCTGATTTATACACTAAAGAGGAGCATGTACATTCTTGCTTCCTGTCTGATTTGATGTTGGATAGTATCTGAAGCAATGATGTGTTGCATTCTTGTTTATTCAGAATGTGTTTCTAGAATGTTATTCCTTCTTGTGGTGTCTGTACTATCACAGTGTTCACTTGGTGGTGTTAAAGCAACAGCCTTTTGTTAAAGGAATTGGATTTTTGGAAGATTTCCATTTTTGTTCCAAAGTACCAGTTCTGTGTGGTGCTGAAATTGAAATTAGCCTTGTAAAACTGTTTAGAAAATGTGAGTAAATGAACCAAATAATACGCTGAACACAATTTCTGATAACACTGCTTGTTGCACTCATGCCATATCTCTGAATCTGAAGCACTTCTTTTCTAGCAGTAGGACTGTTTTGTATGGAAATAACTGTGATTTCCACTGTTACAGGTGTTAAGCATCCTATCTACGTAGTTCATTGGAATTTGTTGATGTACTTCAGAAAATGAGATAGCAAACGTTTTATTCTGAAACAACTTAGTAATTACATGGTGTGCCTTAGCTTTCTTTGTGGGACTGTCTTAATGTGAGTGTCTAAAGACAGGCTTATCTGTGGGGAATTTGTTTTATGCTTGAAAACGTAAATGCTTTTGTAAGCCTGCACCTAAATGTCTTTCAAAACCTAAAACCATTTATGTTGCAACACATTTTAAAATTAGTGTGACAGAACAGGTTCAGTATTGCTGTATTGAGTGTAATTAACATCCTAATTTTTGTCATATTAACTATGTAGTCTACCCTTAAATTAAGAAGAGTAAATCAGTTGCAGTGGAAACATCTTGCTTACAGCAGAGGAGCTGAATAGTAAATGTGAAGTGTCATCAAATGCATGTAGCTTTTTTCTTGCTTACATCAAAGTGAAACTGATGGAAGATCCTTCAGCTTTATTTTAAATATTAAAAAAACACTAAAACTGACACGTGGAAAAAGGTGGTTAATATCTTGGTACAAATGGTAAAGTGAAGTGTTGCAAGAGTTGATCTTATTCTCATTTGCATTGAGTATTTAAGTAGTTTGACTGTAAAAAGCATGCCAGTATTTTCATTAATACTGAGAAACATTTTTCTATTATCTTGTTATCGTGTTATCTTGTTATCTTGTTTTCTTTAACTTTTACTTTATTTTGAAAAATTGTCCTGGGAGATTATAATGGCTTGGGCTTTTTCTGGGCTTTTTTAATTCTTGTTTGTTATTCCTGCATTTATTCTAGCTACTCACGAAATGAAAATTGGCTATGTTGTCAGCAGTAGAGATGTTTACTTTAGGTCACTTGGGCCATTTTCAGTTCCTTCATGCCAACAAACTTCTGATGTTCATGAATTGTACCTTAAATGTAGAAGCTATGCCTTCTGCTTTAAACGGTACTTGCGGGGTTCTCATACTTGAATAATTGGTCTTAGTCATACAAAAGAAGAGGGAAGTTTTGGGACCCAAGTTAGGAGAGGAACTCAGTAATTGTCCTCCTGCATCACCTGTCCTTGTAAATAAGGTTGTGGATTGGCTAATAAGGTATTATGTATTTTCATGCTTCTTTTGTTTATATTACTCCATGGTGCTTTTTGTTGGTGTTTTTCTCAGTAACACAGCAGTCCTGATTTTGAAACTTCCCATCTAATTTGAACAAAACTGTGACTTTTATAACCCCGTTTTGCCATTTTTTCTTCCTCAGCTTTTTTCCCTCATTCATAGCACACATTAAATCACTGCCTGGCACACAGCTTCTAAGAAGATCAATGTGAGATCTTTTCCATATTCCGAAGGGAGTTCATTGACCACCAACCAGGCTATTGATCAAGTCTTGTTTTCTTGGATGTAGCAGAAGTTCTGCTCTGAATTCAACGTAAATCACTGAAAGATTTTGAAGTCAGTTCCCACTTGAGAATAATTGGAAGATTTTCTAACAAAAGCGGATTAATCTGACAATTGCAACTTCTATCTTCAATCTTTATTTGAGATTGGTGTGCTACCATGAGAATTGTGAGGGTACAGAGAAATGAAATGACTATTTTATCAAACCATTGGAGAAACCATGTTAAATAAAAATTACACTGGTACTGTGATACTACTTATCAGTGGCTGATAAGTGCATAAACTTTTCTAAAATACTAACTCATAGTCTTAATTATTAAAATTCTATTGTTTTCCTAGCTGAAGATCAAACTATCTTATCACTTCCCTGAGAGACCTATCTTGTCCATGACCTCAGTTCACTCTGATCATTTGTTTGCTTTTCTTGTCATGTCTTTGGGATTAAGGATCACTGGAAATGGGTATGTGACTCTACAGGCCTGAGTCTGGATTTGATATGCTGTTCCCAGTCTTATTGTTCTTCCTCGCTTACTATCAACTTTAGTCTCCATATTTATGGTTAATAAATATATCACCCTTATCTTTATGTAGTGGAGTTTTCTATATTAGGAAGTTAATGAGAGTTTGGAGTGCTGTAGCTGCTGTGCAGTAAATGCTTGCATAGATGTATTTCTGGCATGCAAATCAGGGAAGTTATTTTGCTCAATGAAAGCTACATTCACAAGGCACTGTTAGACTTCCCTTTACAGAAAGCATAGATTTGTGTTTACATCCCAGAATCTAATCAAATAAGTTTTACTTTTATAAGCAGCTCCTAAGAATCAGTTAGATTAACAATCTTTGTAAATACAGTTGATTTATCGATGCGGTTGTTTCTGATTCTAAATATTGAAATTGCTGGAAGTATTCTAATATTGTAGTCTGCCAGAGAGACAAGAAATACGGTCTAAAACAAACCTGAAAATGGTGTGTGCACTGTAAAACAGGAAGGTTTTTCTGAGATTGTCAAGCGCTGAACAGCTATCTTTGCCACTCACGGTGAAATGCTGCGGTCTTCAATTACACAAATGACTTGAAGTGGGTAAAATGAGCCGTGTTTCAGACGATAGATTTTTTTGCTTTCAAAATACATACACTGTTTATGGAATTTTTACCAAGATCAGTACCAAATGCAAGTTTATATTTTCCAGTTCTTTGACTTACCACTCTTCACAATTTCCAGATTTTTTTTAAGAGGTTCTGAGCACTCAAAAATGATTGCTGGTATCAAACAACTTTGGTCATTTGTAACTGGAGGAGGTAGTTGCTGTCTTCTATTTAATGTTTAAGTTAAGTGGTTTGGGTTTGTTCATAAACAAGTGCAAGAATAAGCTTAAAATTGGATGTTTGGAACAGAATTGTTTGAAATGGAATTTCTTCTTAAAATGCGAGCGGTTGTAAGCACACAAACAGAAAACTGTATGAGTGCCTTTATGCATGGTACTAATGCAGAAGAGGAGATTTGGGAATGGAAAATCCGTTTTGCCAAGATAGCGAATAAAATTCAGGCATTATGAAAAGGAAATACTTTGTTTAATGTTTATGCTTGAACAACTGGGACTTTCTTACGAATGTACTGCTTCAGCATTACTTGATTCAATATGAATAGTATCGCTTGGTTACAAACATGCTTGTTGCAATGGATTAGTGATATTGGAACAAATAAAAGCAATGAGCATTTAAAGCAGGAGTAACAGCTGAAGAGGATGTAACGGTGACTTACACAACTCAGGATGATGCTTTACCACTTGTTTGTTTCATTTTGGTATTTTTTTTTTCAAGTTATATACTCTTAAGCCTCTCTTTAGAATCTGCTGTTTAACTAATCAAGATCTAATTCCATTTGGAGCTGTATTTTCCTTGAAGTTGAAGCCTTGTTTAAACTCACTCTTAATTAACAAATTACCAAAGCAGATGTTTAGAAGTATCAGTGATACGACAGCCATTTCAGTCATATGTAATTTTCCCTCACCCCTCCCAGAAATTATTGTTCCTCATTTCTATACTAAAGTTACAATCAAAGAACAAAGGCAATTCAGAAGAAACTCCTAACAAAAATACACACAACATATTATTTTCATTTCTTTTGTTATTGATGCCAAAGTTTGAATACTTGGTATTGTTATTTATACTGTGTTGTTTTGTGTTTGTTGAGTTGGGTTTTTTGTCAGTAACTTTCAAGGTATTTACAGAAGAGGTGAGCTTTCTCAACCATGCCTTCCTGACACAGACACAAGCATCAGTATAAGAATTCTTTGAAAAAAAGTTTTACTTTT